TGACCAAATGCCAGGCTAGGGGCAACTCCTAGAAAGCCAGGCTCAAAAACAAAGTCACCCATACGCCTATTGGGCACACCGCCTGGCACACAGGTTTGTGTGTCCAAACTCTCAGGAGTGGTAAGGAAGGAAACATCCAAGCTACTAGTCCCTGGTTAAATGTGGGGCAAAATGTAAATTTCTAGAACTGTGATACAAATCTCCAAGTCACACTCACCCACACATCCACACACACGCACGCGCGTGCACACACACACACAGACACACACATGCTCGTGAAGGGTAAGTATTTAACTGGTCAAAGGCACCTAATCATAACTTTTGACCGATAAATGGCTTATGCTCACCCAGGGGAGGCTTCTGGGGAAACAGGCTAAAAAATTAAACACAAGGAAAAAAATCTGAGCAAGACATAAGAGGATGAATGGGGGAAACTGACTGGCTTCACAGAATTACTCCAGCCAAGTCAGTAGACTTAACATGACAGATAGGGGAGGAGGAGAATCCAGGGTAATTATCATATATTATTGAAAATGCCCAGTTGTGAACAAAATTCTTTGAGATACACAATGAAAGAACATGCGATACATAGGCAATGGACACAGTGTTGAGGGGGTCCAGAAGTAGGACTTGGTGACAAAGACTTCAAGGCAGCTATTATAAATATGTTGAAAGGAAAACATTAGAAAAATTGAAATCATTCCAAGTGTGTGTTCCAAACCCGGTGTAGTTGAATTAGAATATGTGTAAATTAAATAACATATTGTTAAATGGCCAGGAGGCCAAAGAAGAAGTCAAAGGAAACTAGAAAATACTTTCAGATGAATAAAATAAAAAATCCCTCCACATATTAAATCATATGGGACGCAGCTAGAGTAGTGCCCAGAGAGAAATGTGTAGCTGTGAACGTATATATTGAAAAATAAGAAATACCTCCTATCCACAACCTAACTTCTACCTGAAGAAACCAGAAGAGCAAAATAATTGCAAAATAAGCATGAAGAAAGAAAGTGAAAGATTAACAGCAGAAATACATGACATAGAGAATATAAAAACCATAATGAAAAATCAGTGACACCAAAAGTTGGTTTTCTTGAAATGATCAACAAAATTGACAATCCTATAGCTAGAATGACCAAATTGCAGAAATGAAAGGGATTATAATATAATATTATGAACAATATTATGCCACCAAATTAGATACCTTGGGTGAAATGGATGCAGTCCCAAAAAGATGATAGATGTGTTAATTGACTGTGGAATTCATTTTACAATGTATGTGTTTATTAAATCATCACTTTGCACCCTTAAATATATATCATTTTATTTGTCAATTGTACCTTAAAAAATCTGGGAAAAAAGGAAAACCAGTCCATTTACAAAATCATGAAAAAAAGAATACAATATTTAGGAATAATTTTAACAAAGAGAGACAAAACTTGCATGTAGCATTGAAAGAAATTGAAGACGATCTACATAAATGGAAGGGCACCATATATTCTTGGGTGGAAAGATTGTGGAGATAGAAACGCTCACAAAACTGGTCCACAGAGTCCATGAAATCCCTATCAAAATCCTAGCTGGCTTTTTTTTTTTTTTTTGCAAAAGCTGACAAGCTGATCCTAAAATTCATATGGAAATATGACGGACTTTGAATCACCAAACCATCTTTAAAATGAACAAAGTTGAGGGCTCACACTTCCTAGTTTCAAAACATACTTACTACAAAGTTACAGTGGTCAGAATTGTGGTAATATCATAAAAGCAGATACACAGATCAATGGCATGTAGTGGCAAGTGCAGAAACTTATGGTCTATAAATTTTCAACAAAGGTGCTGTGACGATTTACTTTGACAAATGGTGCGGGGACAACTGGATATCCATAAGGAAAAGAATTAATTTAGACCCCACATTACAACGTGCTCAAAATTACCCCAAACTGATAGTTCTAAATTTAAGAACCTAAACTGTAAAACTCTTAGATGAAAATATAGGAATAAATCTTTATGACCTTTGGTTAGACAATGGCCTCTTAGATTTGACCACAAAGGAATAAGCAACAAAAGAAAAGAAATAGATAAATTGGACTTCACCGAAATTAAATCTTTGGTGCCTTAAAGGACGCTACCAAGAAAGTGAAAAGGCAACCCACAGAATGGGAGAAAATATTTGAAAATCGTATATCTGATAAGGGTCAAGTATCCGGGATTTATAAGAAACTTTAACAACTCAAAATTAAAAGACAACTCAATTTTAAAAAGGCAAAGCATTTGAATAGACTTTTCTCAAAGAAGATACATAAACAGTCAATTCTTACATGAAAAGATGCTCAATACCATGAGTCATTAGGGAAATGCGTATCAAAACCATAATGAATGGGTGATTATAAGCAAACAGTCAGACAGTAACAAATGTTGGTGAGGATGTGGAGAAATCAGAACCCTCATACATGGTTGCGATGTAAAGTGGTGCAGCACCTTTGGAAACCAGTTTGGCTGTTTCACAAGAAGTCAAACGTTGAGTTACTATTTGACCCAGCAATCTACCCCTAGGCATACATCTACGAGAAATGAAAATATATATCCGCTCCAAAACTTGTATATGGATGTTCATAGCAGCATTGTTCATGATAGGCACAAAGTGTAAACAACCCAAATGTCCATCAACGGATGAACAGATAAACACAATGTGACATATCCATATAATGGAATACTCTTCAGCCACGTAAAGGAGTAACATCAGGATACATGTTACAACATGGATGAACGCTGAAAACATTATGTTAAGTGAACAAAGAGAGTAAAAAAGGCCACATACTATATGATTCCATTTATGTGAAATGTTCAAAATGAGAGTATCTATAAAGACAGAAAGTAGGTTAGTGGTTGGTTTGGGTGGGGGTGGGGTGGTAATTGCTAATGGGTACCAGGTTTTTTGGGGGGATGATGAAAATGTTGGGAACTGAGATTGTGATGAATCTGATTTATTCAGATGTGATGAATTGGTGAATTTTATGGTTTGTGAATTATATCTCAATAAATATATCTTAAAAACTAAAAAAAGAAAAAGAAAAACATCCTTAGCGCTGATGGGAGTCAGAGAGGACATACTGGACAGTCCCCAGGGCAAGGCTCCTCACGACTGAAGGTCCACTGCGGTTCTCTATCGAAGCTGGAGGTGGGTAGCTACACCCATCCGAGGCTCAAGCACTGGATTCTGGAGTGGCTTGCTGCTGAGACATATGTTGGTGGCATTTCCTCAGCGCTTCCTTACTTTGGGGCTTCCTCGCACACTCAGTATGAGGCCCCCATAGTGATGGGGATGTACACTCACACCGACATGGGTGATATGTGATCTGAACAGCACTTTCTCCATCTTTCTCAATTGAGTCATTGCACCAACCCTGAGAGAAGGCTGTTATTCCCACATACTAGGAGAGCCTGAGACCAGAGAGGCGAGGAAGGCTGGCCAAGTTCAATCAGCATGTTCGCGGCAGAGCCAGCGATCCCAGCCCAACCCTGCTTCTACTTCCAATTGCTCTGTTCCACATCTACAAAATTTCTGCTCCACTTTCTGCTGAGAAAGGGAATAGTGGTCTTTGTTTCTCATCAGGGATAAGGGTCATTATACCATCTTCACAGGGATATTGTGAAGGGTCATTATACCATATCCACAGGGATAGCAGTGGATGAGGATGTGGTTGGAGAGTGTCTCGGGCTAAGAGTCAAATGGTGACACATGGTATTCATCTGCTCCTTGGGAGGCACCACTTTCTAATCTGGCCTACTGACAGAGGTGAGGGCTCCAGCCTATTTCATGATCTTATCTCAGCCTTGTTGTTTTGGGCAGCAGTAAGAGTATTTGAGAGCTTTACTTTGCTGAGCTACGTGAGATCGTAACTGTCCAAGCCTCTAATGCTGCATAGCCTTGCAGCCTCTCCCTTAACTGATGATGGGTACCAGGAAGCCCAGATGTCACAGGATGGTATGCACACCGTGTCACCTGAAACCCCAATGTGCAGCTCCCTCTAGGGCCCATGCCAAGCAATGCTCTAGCCCTTGGGTTGACAGAAGTGTTTATTAAATGACGTCGGACAGCTCTGATATCACACTTCGGGGTTTGCTTCTTGTGACCTGGGCATCCATTCCACTCTATTGGCTTGGGTTCTGAGAACAGAGTAGAAGTTTTGAGTTCTCCAGAAGCCTGCCATGCCTATGCTGTGAAGGTGCCTGTGCCCACATGTCTCGCCTGTACATATGATGGATGCGGAACCCCTGCCCCCTCTCCATGTGGGCTCCTTCTGTGTACCGGGGGCCCAGGACACCTGCCCCAGCAGGAACTGCGTGCTGTCCCTGTCTACGAATGCCCACATTATGTTCTTCACTTTCCTCCATGGACCCTGGGATCCTGAAGCTCTTCCTTCCAGCTAAGCAGCTCTGCCACTTCCAGCATCAAGGGTCCATGGGAATCTATTTCTTTGTTTTTTCTCACTTGGTTTTACAGGACAACTGGATTCATACAGGAAGAGGGCTGCTCATTTGGGCCACCTATGGGATTTGGGCACCAAACTGATCATCTGACTGGCTGTATTGCCACACATTTGCAGCGTGACTGCTAGGGGATGTCGAACACATGTTTCTTGTCCAGAACCTAGAGCATATGCTGGAAGGGTTGCTGTGGCACAAACTGGTCAACAATGTAACTTTTTTTCAGCTTGCCCATTAATTGAGCCTGCCTACCAGGAGTAATGTGTCCGCTCTTCCTTGCAACAATCCCGTGAATCAGAGGACACTTTTTAGAAACAAATACCATTTTGGAAATCCTGTAAGAGCTATCTGATTCAAATTACTTGGTTCCTTCTAGGTTAACTGTCACTCCCACAGCGCAGTGACAGAGAGCTAGCCTGTCCGCCTCCTTTCCTCCCATCCCCCCTCTTTCCCTTCGTTTCCCTCCCTTACGTTTTAAAAAAAAATGCGTATTCTGCCACCACACACCAACGCATGACAGAGCCACCTCTCTGTGCTGAGTATCTCCAGGGCACCACCTCCATGGTCCCTGTGTGCTGCGGGTACTGTGCCCTGTGCTGCTGTCCTCACTGTTCACGTGTTGTTGGCTTTCAGGACCTTTTAGTTTACATCATCTACTTGGAATCTCGGGAAAGTTCATGTGGTGGGGAGGCAGGGAGTCCTCAGCGATGCCTCTGGAATGAGCCTGACTCATCTGGCCTAGTTTTCTCTGCAGGGAGCACAGTGTGGCATTGTTTCCCTGGGTGGCTCTGTAACTCAGGTCACGCAGGGCCAGCCTCAGAGCACGCAGAGAATGCAGCCCACTGCTCGTGCTGCCCCCACCCCCGAGGGCCTGCAGCCTTGCCTTCCCCACGTATCCTGAGCCACCTTGGCTCTTGGGGGTTGGGGTCTATGGCTACTTTCAACACCTGCCTTTGTGATGTTTAAGTAGTCCGCGTCATTGGGCCTTCAGGGCTGGACTGCTGCATCCGAGAGGAGATGGACAATGAGGCCTTGCTGACTGCTGGGCCCCCGTGTCAGGAGCAAAAGAAGCTCATTGGCTTTGGGGCCTGAAGCAGCCTTATGTAAAGTGGGACTGATGGTCTCTTTTGGGGATTTCCCCGCCCCCTGTCCAGGAAGGAAGAACTTCTATTGGCTTGAGACAGCATGAGCTTCATTTGTGCCTTGCCCAAGGCGTCTCCAGGGTCTGCCATGCCACCTGATGGGCCCAGAAACCCAGCTACCAGGGGGATGTCTGGTTACCCCTTGAAGCACTAATCTGTGAAGACCCCAAGCTCCCTGGAGGGGGCCCTCAGATGTCAGGAAACGCCAGACAGGGCCATCAATCTATGCAGACCCCTTGCTGAGTGTTCCCTAGGCTGGAGCCAACAGCTCAAAACAGGTTGGTGTCTGTGAGAGAGGACAGGAAGACAGGGGCCTGCGGGGGAGGGATGATGGGGGTGGTGTCAGAGGTGGTCTCCTCTGGCTCGCTGTCCCCCTCGTCCAGGTCTTCAGTGAGAGATGGGATGATTCTGACCGTACTGTCTTCAAAGTGCACCTGCTTCTTCTTGACCAGAGAGTCGGCCGGCTCCAGGGTCAGCTCTGTCAGGGTGTCTGGGCACTGGAGGGCACTGGGCTTCTTCGTCCCCTTCAGGATGCTCTTCATGTGGATGAAGAGGGAGCCGGTCCCCTCCTTGAAGGCCCCGTGGAAAGTGTAGGTTTGCTCGGTGTCCCCAGAGCCGGTGGTGCTCACGGCGCTGCCCGAGGGGTCCGTGTACTGTTCCGGGGGAGTGGGCGCCTCGGGCTTGGCTTTGCTCTTCTTCCGCTTGCTCAGCAGGAAGTAGGCCAGGCCAGTGATGATGAGCATGGAGCCTGGAAGGGATGTGGGAGGTCAGCATGAGGGATGTGTGATGAGGAGGAGCCAGAGGCTGCCCAAGCCCACGGTTCCAAAGGGCCATCGAGGCACACTCAGGCCCTCTATGCTCCAGCCTGCACATCTGACTTGTCCTTGCGCACCCACTTCAGATTCAGGGGACAGGCCTGATGCCTGGCTGAGGGGCACCGGCAGGGCCACTGCTATGCTGGGGTCCACGCCCTCATTGTTAGCCAGGGGGCCCTTGAGGCCTACTGACAGCCCACCCTGGTGCAGCCCGCCTGGCCTCTCATCACCATGCTTGGCCTCCCAGTGTGTCAGGCTGGACCTGCAATGGGTCTGCACTCTGTTTTGAATGCTGGGCTCCAGCTGCCGATCTGGGCTTCCCTCCATTCCCAGCAGTGGGCAGATGCTCCTTCCTCAGCCTTCTCAGTAAACACAGAGGAAAGAGCAAATCCTATTGGGTGGGGCTTGCTTAGCATGGGTCCCCTTCCTAGGTGCCCCCCACCCCCAGGCTCCAGGCCAGAGGTCCCTCTGTCTCAGGCTGAAATGGCTCCTTCTGCCAGAAGACCCAGCCTGGCCAGAGGAAGCCTCTGGGTGTCTCTCGCTCTTCAAGAAGCGAGAGACCGACGCTTGCTCTGGCCTGGGCAATGCTGAATCCTTCTCTGGAGGGCTCACTGAGGGCCGTCCAGAGTGGCCCTGAGATGCTATGACAGGTACATTAAAAGAAACCACAGGAAGGAAGAGGAGGCTCTGCCTTTCAACTTTGTTTCCCTGTACAGTTGGTTTCCCGACATTTTAAGTGGGTCATGAGGAGGTGTATAGTTTTCACAGCTAGGGGGGGAGGGAAGAGAAGGGTACTAGAAGAAGAGGTCACGGACAAATCCCAAGGGTGGGAGCACTGAGTTCTGGCTTCTGCGATCAGAAACCAGGCTGACAAGCAGGGTCTGTGAGGTCGGAGTGGGAGAAGATGATGAGGCTCTGAGGGTCTGCCCCGGGTCTCATCATGGGGTGCCTTCCAAACCAGGCTGAGGAGTTTGCACCTGAATGGGTAGGTGCTGGGGAGACAGGGGAGTGACCATCTCACACCCTCTGAAGGCTCAGACCACACCTAGGCATTGGAGAAAAGTCTCTGTTTGTGGGCGCAGTCTCTGGATGCCTACATGAAGGGACATTCCTCCCACTTGACAACATGAAGGAGGTCTGACACTTCCTCATCCCCCTGATCTAGCCCAGAGAAGTCAGTGGGGCTAGTGGGGGCCCCAGGAATCAGTGTCAGTGAGGCCCGTGAGAAGGGGATTCAGCCCTTCCTGCTCAGAGCCCACCGGTGTGGGGTTGCCTGCCTCCACTACCTCCTGGACATCCTACCTGGGATGGTCACGTGCCAGACCAGGACAGGGTGGAGAAAGCAGGCCACAGACAGCAGCATGTATGCCAGGAACTTCTGGAAGCAGCCCAACCAGCGGGCTTTTTCCCTTGCTCTGTAGGCCAGGGACTCCGGCCGGCACCTGGCGGGAGGGAGTTCAGGGTTAGTAGGGGACAAGAAACAACCAAGCAAAACCCCAGCGACCTGCGAGGCTGTTGGAGGCTGGGGGTGGGTCCTTCTCTGCCCATGTTCTCTTTAGTGGCCTCTAGCTGAACCCTCCTCAGGGGCTGGTGTATTCACCATGGGTTCCACAGTTAGGGGTCTTGCCTGAGTCTCTCCAGAGGGTCCATGATTTTTCTGAAAGGCTGCCTAGCCTTACCTTTCTGTCAAGGGGGAAAGGAGCCAAATGATATCAGGACTTAGCCAAGACAGTGGGAAGGAGAGTAGGAGACCCAGGGCCCCACTGGGGCGTCCCCCGTGGAGTGGGGTGGAGAAGGCATGCAGTAGGGGAGACAGCTTGCTGGGACAGTTGTATTGACTGTGCACTGCACAAGCTGCCTGGCCTCCTGTGAGAAGAGGCTGGAATCCAGTTATATCTTGCTCATGGAGCATTGCCTAGGCATAAGATGGCATCAGCCCAGAGGGGCTTCTTTTTAAACTGGCACACAAGGGCCACACACGGGCTTGGCAGAGGCCTGATGCTGAGCAGTTTTCCTCAGGGGTGTTGTTTCCAGGTTTCAAAGCAGGAAAGGGCTTGCCTTAGGTCTATCTCCTCCATCCTCTGAGTTGGTCTGGAGCAGGGCTCTGCACAACTGAATTCTGTCCAGGCAAGTTTTGGGGTGGGGGAGCAGGGGACTGGAGGTCCAGAGCACAGCTGTCAGCCAAAGGCCATTGACTGTGGCTCATTGGTGCCCTCTGGTGGACATTGTTTTGTGACCAAATTCTGGCTGGGAGAGGAAGCTGTCCAGGGCAGGGTGAAATGCCCCTTTCAGATTCAGGGCTCTCTCCTCCCCCACACGCCCTTCTCTTGTCCCAGAGAAGTTGCAAAGCTCTCTTGGCAATAACATTCATCAGAAAGAAGGAAGCCTGTTGCCTAAGGGCTGGTGACCTTGGGAGGCAGCTGATAGCCTTGCAAGGTACGGGATGGCTGGATTTGAGGCCTGGCTTTTCCCCTGACTACCTAGAGACCCAGATGTTTAGGTTCTGAGAGCTATGGTCCGGGACAGCCCTTGGCCACACTGATGACAGCTTCTACCAACTGAGCACTGCTGGACAGCAGGTATGGGCCTCCGTGGCCATGTGGCTTCCCAAGATCCTTGTAGCCCCTGACTCGTCCCTGGGTCCCAGCAGGAAAAAGAGCTAGTTCTCAAATATAGCTCTGCTTACTGCAAACTCCCTGGCCTTCCGCAGGGTCCTCGCCTCTCTGTGGGTACCTTGGATGGCAGGTGCAGTATAGTCTGTTCTTGGAGGTGGGGGCAGACACTGCAGGGGATTCTGGTGGGAACAGGCCCTCAGTGAATGCTTCACTCTACTTCCCTGGTTGGGAGCAGAGAAAGGAGACCACTGAGCCCTGAGGGCCTGGTCCCATGTCGAGGCAGGGCTGGCCGCACTGTGGGGAGGGAAGCCATCTGCAGCGGCTTCAGAAGCAGGACATCCCCTGGGCTGTGGCCTCACAGGTGGGGGCATCCGGGGGAGTCTGGGGCTGGGAGGTGGTGGAAGAGCTGCTTGGGAGGCTACTTACTGGAAGCAGATGGTCAGCATCTGAGCCACAAAGTAGGCCCCTTCACACACGGAGATGACAGCTCCTATAAACCTGTGGAGGAGAGAGGTAAGGGAGGTCTGGTGCCATTTGATCTGCCTTCCGCTCCTCCCATAGCTGTTTTCTCACAGCATCCGGGCTCCTGGCCACGCATGGGCAACAGACTGACCAGGGGTCTCCCGATCTAATGCTGCACCCAGCCAGCATCTGCCTGGAGCTGGGCCTCAGTGGAGGGGTGGGAGCCAGGGCCCGAGATGGGTGAGGGAGTACGGGCCAGCAGGGGAGGCCGTCTTGACCCAGGCCCCCATGTGGACACTGGCAGACATGTACTTCTACCTACTATCACTAGGATGACATTCACTGCTTTGCTTAGAAACCTTAAGGCTGGATCTGTTCCAGACTCCTTCCCTTCTTCCTCTTTTCCCACTGTCCAGTCAGTCTCCAGGAGGGGCTGGTTGTATTCCTTACATGGTTTAGAGTCACTCCCGTCTCTCTGCCCTCACCTGTCTGACCTGATTTTGGGCACTGCCCCCTTGACCGCTGCGCTAGTCTCCCCTTTTCCGCCTCCCTGGTTCCCTGCTTCCCCTCTCCCCCTCCTGCTCCTCCACTCTGTCACTACTGGGCTGCCCCGAGGGCTCCTTCTGACACCTGAATGTGATGGTATTACTCCCAACCCAGAATGCTTCAAAAGTTCCTTGTGCTCCAAGTATGATCCAGGGGCCTTCCAATCAGAATCTTCTGGGAAATATGTAAAATCATAGATTCCTGGGTCAGCCTCAGACTTTATATACTAGAATCTTTCGGAATGGAACTTACACATTTTATTGGAGGGTCCTATTGGCCTATACCATCGAAATTTCTTAGCATGCCTTTAAAGTCTTACATGAACTTCCATAGTCCTCTGACTACACAGGATGCTACTAGGTACCACAGGGCCTTTGTACAGGCTAATCCCTCATGGAAGGACCCCCTCCCCCTTTTCCTCTTTTTGTCTGCCTGGTCTGTCTGTCTTGCTTCTCCCTGTTTTACCGTGTGATCTGGGCCACCAGTCTGTGATCTCCCTTTGGCCGTTCCCTCTCTAATTCTTGCATGCAGTCCAGGCCCACTCTAGGGAAGGCTTACTGCTAAGTGCTCCATGGACATCACTGGACTGAAAGAATGAGAGGAGATGCTGCCTTGCAGGGCAATGTGGCTGGGGGTCGTGGTTTCTTCAGAGTCCTGGGCATTGCCCCTGGGTGCCTATAGGCTGTGTGCCTATAGGAAAGGGACTTGACCTGTCTGTGCATCAGGATCCTCATCTGTAAACTGAGGGTAATTACACTGCTTCAATAACATTGTTATAATAACTGAATGGACTGATGTTTGTAAAGCCTTTCAAATGTGGCTTATAGTGCTCATTATATAAATGTTAGTTATTATCTTTTTTCTTTTTCTCTCTGTGACCATAGTCCTCTGACTACACAGGAAGCTACTAGGTGCTACAGGGCCTTTGCATAGGCTCTCTCCCTATTATCTCCTACTCTTTCTATGTCTCTCAGTATCTCCCTGACTCTTACTCCTTAGTTTTTAAATTGAATAACTAACATTTATATAATGATCACTATGTGCCAGCTATGTTCTAAGGGCTTTAAAAGATCAATTCATTCAGTCCTTGTAACAATATTATTGTCGAAACACTGTAATTACCCTCAGGGTACAGCTAAGGGCCTCAAGGCACAGAGGGGTCAAAATCCTTTCTGTGGTCATGCATCAGATCAGTAGCAGGGGCAAGATTTGAACCCAGCACTCAGACTCCAGAGCCTATGTTCCTAACAAGCGCACCAAGATGCGTGCTTTGTAAAGCAAGTGTCATTGCTCTTTTCTACATCCTGGGATGTGGGGGGGGGGGGGCGGGGGCAAGGAGGAAACTGAAGCTTGGGCAATAAAGTGACTCACCAGATGTCCTGTCTGATGCTATAGAGGCTGTGCCGCTTGAGGCGAGGGAAGTCTGCTTAATCAGGTGGGGCAATGAATCCAAGGCGGGAGCCCTGCTGCGCTAGCAATGTCCTAGAAACCAAGGCCTCTGCCCAGCACGCCACCCCAGCCACGCAGACCCTTCAGCCAAAGGTGTGGCTGCGGTTTGTGGGTGAGTGGCAGGGAGGCAGTGAGGGGCCTCACATGAAGGAAGAAGACGGGAGAGGAAGCGGGCGAACAAGAGAAAGCCAACAACAGCTCAGTTCTTCCTGGAGGGTACTGGGGGCCTCAGCCCCTGCTGGCTCCCAGGGACACAGAGGAGGGAGTGACAGTCCGGAGGGAATGCGGAGGCAGGAGTCTGAGATCTGCAGAAGAGCCTGATTGTGTGCAAGGGAGGATGGCAGAGGGAGAAGAAAGAGGGAGGCGAATGTTTAGATGGCCTTGAGGAGCGGGTGGCTGTGAGCTCAGGAGGGCAGTGGCCACCTGTCCGGTGGAGTGTAGAGCAGGGCACGGTGTGGAACATAAGCCAGTTCACAGCGAGGGGTAGGGGCACCTGAGGCTGGAAATAATGTCTTCAAGGACTGGCCCCAGAGAGGCCAGATGGGCACGGCGCCCTCTCTGGAAAGGGACAGAGCAGTCAGGAAAGGGCAGGGTTCTGGGCAGAAAGCAGTTTGCATTAACCGGCTATGGACCTGACCTGTTACTGTAGGATGATAATCCTACCTCTTACTGGAAGTGACGGTGTGGGTGAGCTAGGCAACCACGCGGAGGGGGGGAAGGCCGGGCCTGCTGCTGGATCCGGAGACAGTGCACAGAGGCGTGGACAGGCTCAGTAAGACATGGAGGGCGTTCAGAGAGAAGAGAGGTCATTTTCAGGCAGTGGGGGCTCCAGGCTCAGAGCACGCTTCCCAGGGCAGAAGGCCAGAAGGAACATCAGGCTTTGGGAATGTCAAGGTGTGTGGGAAGGCATGCTGGGTGCTCACCGTGATGAACAACTAGCTTGGAGGTGAGTTTGAGAAAGAGTTAGAAGCTCCTGGGGTGTACGCTGAGTGACGAGAAATAAAATGGAAGCCGGGGAATGGCAGAGGACTGTGGCCTGGAGGCCCTGGCATGTGCTGAAGGTTCTGGGAGAGCCCTGCGTTTATAGGTGGCTAATTTTGTGGTGGTGTGGATGTGGGCTGGAAGGCTGGAAGATGGTAGGGAGAGGGTGGGTGTGACCCATGTAGCAAATAGAAGAGCCGCCCTGGGCAGTGATGAGGATGGATGTGGGTGGGGAGGAGAGGGAGGAGCAGAGGAGGTAGTCTGGCCACCCAGCTGGCCAACCGTGGCCAGGAAGCGCAGGCTCCCTGTGTCCCTCAGGATGGGCTGCTGAGAAGCCGGTTGGTCAGAGCCGGCAGCGATCCAAGGCTTTCCTCCCTCTCTGGGTCACTGCACTGTGATCTTCTCCCCAGGAAACATTGACAGAGGCAGCTGGCCAGGGAAGGATTCTGGGGGGCTAAAGGGACCAGGCCTGAGTTTGCACCTTGTTGCTCATAAGTTTGGTGACATGGGCTAAGCTGTTTACTCCCTCTGAACTTTCTAACCTGAAAAACTAGGACAGTGTGCCTTTCTACGGTGCTGTCGGAGTTAAAGAACATAATGTGAATAAAACATTGTATGTGTGTGTGTGTGTGTGTGTGGCATGTAGAAGGGTTCAAATAGATAGTCTCTTGAGCCGATTCCTCTCTAAAACAAGAGCTCAGTTAGTGTTTGCTGAATAAAGAAATGATCGGAAAGGTAGATGGGTGGATAGATGGTGGCTGGCTCGCTGGCTGAATGGATGGACGGATGGAGGGGTTGTTGGATGGATGGATGGATGGGAGGAGAGGTGTGTAGGTGGATGAATGGAAGGAGAGTTGTTTGGTTTATGAGATGGTCTGCCCAAAGCCCTGCCCAAAGCAGAGAATTTCCTAGAAGCCCCCTCTACTTCTTCCACCTGGGGGATATGATGGATTTAGCAAGGGAAAGGGGCCTTTCTCTGTGTTAGTCTGCAGAGACAGACTCAGGATGTGCACGCATACTCACAGCAAATAGAAAGCCAGGCTTTTGAACCGTCCCTGGAGGAAGGTCTCAGTGCCCACGCCGATCAACACTAAGAGGGGAAGAGGAGAGGGGAGAGTGGGCCCAGGTGCTCCAGCCACAGTGCGGCCCTGTGGAAGGTTCCTTGGCTGTGGAGTGAGGCTTCTCCCTGGGCACCGGGCACCCAGGGTGGGCTCTTCTCCACATGGCACAGGTATTGGTGGCTGGGAAGATGCAGGAGAACAGGGAGCCTTCTGGAATGGTCTCTGGAAGCCAGAGGGGTTTCAGGCAGAACCCCAGAAGTGCCCCCATAGCACAGATGCCTGTCCTTTGCCCACATGGGTCATGCCTCCACCCCTTAGTGCCCCCAGAAACAGTTCACACTGACGGGCCACCAGTCCCTCTGCCCCATGGCTGTACTCCAGGTGGCATGGCCTCAAGGGCCCTCACTGTCCTGCGGGCCATACCCATGTACGCTGTGTGTCTGGGTCCGTGCTTGGCCATGGGACCTCCCCAACCCTTGTCCCCTTGCCTAGTTCACTGTTCTAGCTATTTCTGTGACTTGTTTTCACTTGCTGGTTTGGTGACTATATCACACAGTCCTGGCTCCTTGCTTTGGCCTCAGTGCTGGTTAAGCCCTTGAGGGTTTGCTCAGACACAGAAAGCTGATCAGCCTCGTCCCTTCTCCTGCCCTTTCTTGGCAGTCGGTGTTTGTGCTCAAGCACCTGACCTTCCATTTGTGCAGAGTGAATTTTGTCCTGGACCCACCTTTCCAGACTTGCTGGCTCCAGGCTGTCCCCTCACGGGGATTCCCTTGCTCTCACTGCTTCACTCAATGAGCCATGGCTCAGACCCCATCTACTTGCTGATGGAAACATTCCACAGACAGCACTGAGGTATCCTGAAACCTTCCTGCAGGGCTGCATGGCCCACTAACCAGATTCTTTCTGGTCCTAATTGATTACTGTGCACCCTCTATTTGTCTCTGGGCTCAGATGACATACCCTGCTATTGGCTGAATATGGCTTCACCTTGTCTGCCTCCTGGAAATCAAAGGTGGCAGGGTTAGGCTGTCTTGTTTGGCAGCCCGTCCGTGTGTGGCTCTTCATCTCTGCTGTTCAGGAGGCTGCTTCCCTTGATGGCTCCTCTCCTCCCTGGCAGAGATGTGAACTTCCATTCCCCGTGTCCCGAGCCCTCTGTCCACTGAGGAAATGCTGCCTTCTGAAGACTGAAGAGCAATGCAGAGCCCCTCACTTACCGGTACCTCTCCCCCTCCCTTGGGGGGCTGGACGTGGAAGTACTTTGGGGGTAGCAGGGTGCAGAGTGCTTCAATCTAGGAAGGGAGGGGCGGTGCCTACAGATTCTTAGTGAAGGAGGGTTCCTGTGCTCCCCTGGGCTTGGCTTGGAGCAGGAGCCGAGGAGGGCACTGTGCACTCCCCAGGTTCTAGATGTTCACTGGCTTGTACCAGGCCAGGGGCTAGGGATGCTGGTCAGCCACACACACATCCAGAGGGTTGGCACAGCCTGCAGAGAGCTTAATGCTTTATGCATGGTGGTCTGCTCGTCTTGGCTCCTCACAGCAGCCCCGGGACACAGGGAGATGTTTACTTCCTGCTTAGTCTGCTGTCTTGTATAGGTCTCCCAAGGACACATGTCAGAAAGTAAAGGATCTGCAGACCAAACTTGAGACGCTAGCTCTGGGTGGTGGACAGTTTCCTGGTTTCCACTGTCTATGTGTGTGTGTGTGTATGTGTGTGTGTGTGTGCATGTGTGTGTGAGATGGGTGTGATGCATATGTGTGATGGGTATATGATTTGTGCATGTGTATGTGATGTGTGTGGTGTGTGATGGATATAGTCTGTGTGGTGTTTGTGTGTGTGGTGTGTGCATGTGTGTGTGGTATGTATGGTGTGGGTATGCTGTGTGTATATGGTATGTGCACGTGTGTGATGTGTGTGTGATGTGTATGGGTATGTGATATGTGTGTATGTTATATATGCATGTGTGTATATGTGTGTGGTGTGTGCATGTGTGATGCATGCATGTGTGTGGTGTGTGCATGTGTGTGATGGGTGTGTGATGTGTGCCTCTGTGTGCGTACTGCAGGCAAATGCCCATTCGTCTATTTAGTTTTCACTATGTATCTTGTCTTGTTCTCAGCACTTAGTATTTATTAACCTTTCAAGTCATCACAACAGTGCTCTGTGAAGGTATTATTGTTACCCTTATTTTACAGAAAGGAAACTGAGGCACAGAGAGTGTAAGGAAAACCAATCTACCGGCCAAGGTCATTCCTGCATTTCACCCTTACATCTGCCAGTTCATAGCTGAGTCATGCAATCCCACTGAGCCTCAGCTTCCTCATTATCCCTCGTGCACATCATGGTTATAAGGATTCAGTAAGGTAACTCATGCCAAGCACATCAGTTGCTCAGTCACTTGTTAGCTTTCCACCGGTGGCTTCATCACATTTGTAGATTTGTAAGCTTTGTGGCGAGTGACCAGCAGGTGGCAGGAAAGGGTCTTGGAAACTCAGCCCTTTTCCCTGAATTGTTAGGCCTGTGGAGAGGTATTTTGATGCCTTTTGATGGAAACAAAAGGTCAATAGTCAAAGGGGCATTCTAGGAATGCTGTAGAGGCAGCACTGGTCTGCACTTAAAACAACAAATCAGTGGAACAGCAGAGAAAAGAGAGAGTTGGGTTGGAATCCTGTTTGTGCGTGACCTTGTGTAACCCCTTGGGTCAGTACTTAGCACAGAGGGGGGCATGGGCAGCCCACGTGGACTGAGGCCGGAGGGTGGATCTTTAAATATTAGCCCCCACAGGACGGGCCAGGAGGGCCCTGAGCGTTTCGGAGAGGCTGAGCGACACTTTCAGATTGGCCCTTCGGAAAGCATCCTGGCCTCGGGCAGACAGGGTAAGAGGCTTGGGTGACATGTGGCCGAGATTAAGCAGCAGACATGAGGTGGTGACCGAGAGACAGTGCCATGCTCCGGCTACTTGTGACCTCCCCGTCTCCCGGCTCACTGGTAGACACTACCTCTAGTTGTGGCTCCTGCTGGTGTGCCCAGGTGTCCTTGTTCCCCCATTTAATACTAGGGTGCTGGTAGGCATAGAGGCCCAGGGGGAGAGGGCCGGTTCTGTCCGGGGGCTCAGGCAAGGAGGCTTCCGAGACACAGGGAAGGGCAGGCCTTGCCACTTCATCCTGGCTTTTGTTTTGTCCTGGGTAGTGGAAGGCAGAAACGTAAGACCAGAAGGCGTCGGGGTTTAGAGGCTCCCTGGACGTGACTGCCCCCTGCGTCTCAGGCCGGTCCCACCATGTGCCTCACCTTCCAGTAGGCCCCTACGTGCATCTTGTTTAGTCTGTGCAACATCCCTCCTGTCATTTGTGGAAAAATCCTAATGAGTGTCCTGGAGGTGCCGCGCTTTGCCCGGGGCATGTTGGTGGTAAAGGGCAGAGGGCACCCAGAATCAGGACTGATTCCCAGGGGCTCCAAGACACCTCAGCAGAGGAAGGACTCTGGCAACAATGGTGCTGATGGGGAAGACATTTCCTGGGAGCCTTCATGCATAATGGGGGTGTCACATGGATGAGACCCTCATTGCCATGGGCAGTGGTCCACTGTGTCCCCCAAACCCAGCCGTGAATGGATTCTGCTAATGTCTGCCGCAGAACGAGTCAGGAAACTCCCGCCTCACTGCCTCGATGACCTGCCTAGTGTCTAAGCTCTGGATGAGTGTGACGATAGCCCATCTGCCCCTCACCCCAGGCCTCTGGAAAGGGGCCCTAGCCTGAGCAGAGCTGGCTTCTGAATGTCAGAAGTAGCCACAGCCGAATCTCCTTGCCCAGGGCAGTTCCACTCAGCAACCCAAGAGCTGTCCTAAAAGGCCAGGGTCCAAAGTCCCCAGCGGTCAGCCTGCACCCTCATTTATGGCACATTCTCTGTGCCAGGCCTGGGCAAAGCACAGGGGAGCACAGGATATATACCCTGGCACCTGAGCAGACTGTCGCGGGACCAGGAAATGGAAAGCAGATGAGGGCGGGAAGAGGCCACAGCACCTTGGGAGCAAGACTCGTGCGGGCTCCATTCTGTCTGGGCACCGAGGATGGTCCTGCCCAGAAGGAAGGCTAGGTGATGCCAGGGGTGTGGAGCAGCATGAAGAAGAGTCTGGCACTGCCATGACTGTGGTTCTGGGTACTGAAAAGGGACAGGGCCTTGTCTCTGGGCTTCTCTGTGCAATTCCTGGCACCAGGTAAGGTCACAGGTTCCACGCTGGGGCAGTGACAGTGTGGCTTCCTGGGCCCACACCTTCCAGTCCTCTTGCACTTTGCAACTTCCTCCTGCTTCTCCAAGGGGGTCAAGTTCATTGAGGAAGCTGTGCCCTGTGGTGCTGGGAAAACCCTATCTCCACAGCCTGGGTGGGGACGAGACTTGCTTCTGCGAGAACTTACTCTTCTCCCTAGCTAGCACTTGTCTCCCCAAAGGTCTCCCGGGCCTCTGAAGGTCACACCAGTTGCCATGACTAAGGTAAGTGAGCCAGGCATGGTCTTGTGAAGATGTTCCCATTGATCTCTGGGGCAGCTACACTCCCAGACACATGATAAGCTAATTTCTGGGCTCTATGGCAGAAAAGGGGAATGGACGCCCATGTACTTTACACAGTTAGGTGAGAGACATACCCGCAACTTTGGGGTTTCTTTGTTACAGTAGGCAGTGTTACAGTAGGGTGTGTTATGCCTCCCATCAAGAGGTGGCGTCTAACCTTCCCTCCCCTTGAATATGGTCTGGCATTAGTGACTCACTTGGGGAGTAGAATGATGTAGAAGTACTGTTCAAGGCCTTGCACTGCTCATTCACAAAGAGCTTCCACCCTGTCCTCTTAAGATGTTTGGCCTGGGGGCAACCACCCTCCGTGTAAGAAGTCTGACACTCCTGAGACCACCCTGTGCGATGAGACCACGTAGAGGGAACACCAGAGAAGGAGAGACAGACAGACAGATACACAGCCAGCCCTAGCTGGCTCAGCCCTCTCCACCAGGCAAGTGTCAGTGAGGAAGTTTCCATGGACGTC